TTCATCGTTCGAAATTACCAGCGGTCCTTAGGCTCGAAGCCGACAGAAAACCACTTGGACCCACAGTCCTTAGGCCCGAAGCCAACTGAAAACCACTTGGACCCAAAGCTTTTGTTTTCTGCAGGTCCTCATGGCTGACAGCTTTTTCATCCCGAATGACTCTGACTGACATATTCCTGTCTGAACATTCTGATTCAGACTTTTCAGAAGACTTGGATCTTGACATGGATGTTGATTTTGTTGTAAATGAAGACTAGTCAGACACGAGTGTTAAATTCAAACTCTTTAATTCAGTTTGTTAGTTGTGAATTATTTATATTGTAGCTAAAATATAGGACCTACACATTCTGATCAGGACCCTCGACTCTTTTATGGTCCTGGGTCCTTAGGTCCTGCAGCTTTTCAGAGTTAAGGTCAGACACTGCTTTATTTGCAAGTGTCGTGTAATGATCCACGTACGTATGTGTTCTGACTGTGTTAAATATGTTCAGCAGTGTTAGCTGGAACATTGCATGAGAGTGTCACACATTAAGACAAAATACCTTCAATAATGCATGGTCCTGCATGGTTAAGGGGATTGTGAATATTCTTCTGAAGAATCTTTTGAGATTCACATCTTACAACACGTGGTTTCAGTGTAGAACTCTCTACAGACACAAGTGCAGGTATCTCTGTTCAATGTTCATCTGTTGAGACAAGCCTTAGTGCAGGTGTTCGTCTCTGAAACATACAAAACGACATTAACACTTAGTTAAAAATAACGATGATACTGACACTTCGTGTTTGGTAATGTAATTGTTTCTGTCCCCCGCATTGCTCTGTATGCGGTGTGTGTGTGTGAAATGCTGCCTTTTCAGATCTCTGAATAAATTAATGTTTGCGTTTCCATGGCTACATCTTTGAATGAAATTGGTGATAGCTCTCTTTTTCGGAGCAGATCTTAAAACCGTTCAATGTTTCTTCGCCATATTTATCACATAGATCGGTCTGGTGGTAAGCTGGTCCCCGTTGGTAGTTTCGAGTTTCTGAATAAAATATTGTTTGCATTTCTATAGCAACAAATTTGACGTCGATTGAAATTATATTATATAGCAAGTCAAATTATTATCTATGTAAATATATTCTTCACCAAACTTGGCAGATAGATAGGTCTGGTTATGAACTGGTGCCTTTTGGTAGTTTTGGATTACTGAATAAACTAAGTTTTGCATTTCCATGGCAACAAGTTTGACTTCGACTGAAATTTGTGGCAGTGATCATTTCCGGAACAGGAATTAGAAATCTTTCAATACCTCCGTCCCACTTTGTGGGTATCCAAGAAGCTAATGATAGAAATTAACAGAAACTATATCAACATTACTGAGGTACCTCAAACCATTATTTGACAAAGTCATAACCAATTGTCATATTCATGGAAAGTAGTTTACCATTGAGGGGGATAGTGATGAGTTTGTCTTCTTGTTTCATTTTGTTTTGTTTTGTTTATTTGTTATAACGGTATCGTCAACCTGGGAGTCGACACGTAACAGAACTCACAACTTACCAAACATGGTCTAAGTGTAGAACTCTCTACAGACACAGGCACAGGTATCTGTGTTCCGTGTTCCTCCATTGAGACATGCTGTAGTTCACGTGTTCGTTTCTGAAAATTACAGTAGCAAAATCATGGTGAAAAACAGGATGATATTTACAAAAGTGTTTAGTGAGTGAGTGAGTGAGAGGGTTTAGGTTTACGCCACTTTTTGCAATATGGGCTCACACATCGTACCGTGTTGGGAATAGAACCCTGGTCTTCGCCGTGACGCGCGAACGCTTTAACCACTAGGCTCACCCAGGGCCTCCTTAAGAATATTAGTTTGGTTTGTGTATGTTTGTAAATGACACATATGAATTTATTTCACACCACTAAAACATATGCAACGTAACATGAATAATGCAAGGATACATCTCTGGAAGGTGTTCACAGACTATGTTAGATAATAAGTCTTGTAATATCTATTCTGAAGAAGGTTTTGATATTTGCGATGTACCACAGAGGGGTTCAGTGTTTCTTTATTGTTTACTGGTTTAAGACATAGTTCCCTAACGCACTGATTCCCCTTTAACCTTTACGTTTCACCCTGGGAGTCGACACGTAACTCACAACCTACCACACGTGGTTCCAGTGTACAACTCTCTTCAGGCACAGGTGCAGGTGTTCCGTGTTCCTCCATTGAGACATGCTGCAGTGCAGGTGTTCGTCTCTGAAAAATACAGCAACAAAACAACATTAAAAATAAGTTAAAAATATAGAAAATACCGCCAGGCAGTGTTTGGTAATCTAGTTGTTTTTACAGTTTGTTTGTTGTAACGGGGAAAATATATTCGTGAACTAATGTTAACTATGTATGGTGTTCTACACCAGCTTAGATCAATAAAATATTGATATTGTTATGAGGCAGTGTTACACGTTGTACAACGGTGTTTCACCTGTTATACATTGTACATGTAGATTCATTCGGCGTCACTGGTTTGCTATGTTTACACATGTGCTATGACCTTTTAGGCATCGCCAGTAACGCTGAGAACACTGCAGAGCAGATAAAGCCTTTTAAAAAAGACAATTTAGGAGACACCTGAGTTTATTAAGAAATTTAGTGAGAAGGACGTGAGATCATTTGGGGGGTCAAGCTTATTTCAAGAGCATCACGATGACCTTACCACCGTCTATTAGAGACTTGCTTCTGTTAGAGATCGGTACTGCATCGCAAATACGATAGATTCATCTCCAGTAAGTGATATTTCATACCAAAGGTCTTTGTCATGTCTAACCATGTCTGGCAATGCACTAGTGACGAACGGAGGAAACATGGTCCTATATATTTGTCACAGGTGGAATTGTTCATACAATGTATAGCACAGCACCACTGGCACATTTCACAAGTTTTGTCCCTAACAGCTTGCCATACAGATGAGCTGGCTGCCGGCAGGTACATCCTGGGCTCTGGCACCTGCTGCTCCTGCAGTCTGTGCACTCAGGTGATATAAAAGCTGCATGTGCCATGTGCCCGGCACACACCATGCTGGCAGTGGCAGCCGTCTGTAGTTCCCAAAATTACAGGTTTATGGTGCGCTCAGTGTTTGTACCCCAATTGGCAGAATAAAGACATCAACCCTGTGGTCGTGTTTTAAATATTCGACATATTGCTTCTATTTTATGGTATATCCCCCCGGATAAAAGTCATGTGAATCCTACCCCTTCAAAGAAATTCACCCATCCCGGTACTGCGTCCAAATCCAACCCGTTCCCATGGAAACGAAAAAGAAATAATTCAGAAATGTGAAAACATCACAAGGCCATTTCAGTACTTGGGTAATGCACATGCAAAGTTTCAAAAAGATAAAATGAAACATTTTTTGAGTTCTGGTCCAAGATGGTATAACGCGGTACTGTTACTGAACACGCCTCTCGAACAGATTCTAGGAAACCAGTCGGTCTTTCGCTAAATTCCAGTAAAAGTTAATGGGTGCTACTAAGATGGAATGGATTTTCCGATTCTGCAATTCGGAATTATGCACAGAACTAGTACAAGTGTGATCTTTACGTGTCAACTTGTTTGAATTGAAAGTGTATCAGTTTATTAACGTTTTGATTCTGTGTAAAATACAGAAGGTGTTTAAATTAGAGATTTCGAGACATATCGATTTCCGCATTAACTAGGAATAAAAGCGGGACAATTATTTCGGAATACCCACAGGTCCACGTGGCTCCTAAGTTGCTACAGTTTTGTTCATTGGTCATTTGGAATTGCCAAAATACTAAAAGACTAAGTATCATTGGCTGAAAGTTCATTTTGAATAATCCAAGAGAATACTACACGAGGTCTCATTACATACGAATTATACGAAACGAGTGTCCTTCCTATGTTATCTGACCGAGCGAAAGCGAGTTTCGTATAATTCGTATGTAATGAGACAGAGTGTGGTATTTTATTTATTACCCACGTCTTACATGCATTAAATTGTCAAAATAGTGTAGTTTTGGTATTGTTGTGGTTTCAAACCGAAACAGGTTTCATAACACACTCCGGCACAGCGATGACTTAACATAACATCACTACCACAGGCTAATTTGCATATCACGTGACCGGACTTTTCTCTTGTTTGTAATCAAACGCATATATTCATAATAAGAAGAGACTGGACTCACGAAAGCTTTTCGGCGCTCACTTCATAATGTTTTACATTGTTACATATATATTCTTCCACAACTGCGACAGTAAGGTCTATGACAGGACATATTTAGATATCAAACTGGCTGCATCGTTTGCTCTCCATCAGCTTCGATGACAGCACGTGGAGCCGTACAACCTATGTAAACAAAGGATCGCTACGCAAATCGAAATAGTGTTACATGTTTTTGGATATTTTCCCAGTGAAACTAAACCATTCTATTAAAGATGTTAAGTTAGATGTGTAGACTCGTCTAAAATAAAAGAGTAAAAGAAATATGTACATTATACTGAATGGACATTGCAAGATGTAACGAATCGTCACATTTTTCTGGCCTGTGGCAGAGGTACTATGCACTCTCCTACCCAGAGTTCCATGCGGCAAGCCAGCATAGTACCTCTGTTATTAGAGTACATGCTGTTGTTATTGTTATTCTGCTGTTTGTCATAACATACAGTGAATACTTCTCATCTCTTGGTTCTAGTCACTTTTAGCTGGATACGCGCAGCAGTCTCGACTCCGCTGGCACATGACGGTGAGGTGAGGTGAGGTGGAATTGGGTTTAACGTCGTGCTTGAGAATATTTCGCTCATATGACGACGTGCATGCGCGTGTATGTGTATGTGCGGCTGCTTGTACTAGCCCAGACTTAAGCTGGTTTTATAGTGCTAGCCCACTGAGATACCATGCCGCAGTGAAGCATGAATACCCCACTCAGACACATTATACTGACTCCGAGCCGACCAGTCCTTGTTGTACCCATTAATCATAGCGCCCGTCAATTGAATATAAAATTTCAAAATTGTTAACTTTGTTCAAATTAAAGTATATCCAAATCCTAATTCGGCTTTATTTGAGCCGGTAAATAATTTTTTTTACAAATTGACCGGTATGTTAGTCTTCCCTGTCAGTGAGTCTTGTCCGTCTGTAGTAGATGGTTGTCTGGAAATTGCTTCTGTTCCTTGATGGCCGGTGCTGGCGCATGTAGCGTTCACATGTTTATAAACATCTCAGGGAATACAATGTAAACGGCGTGGAGACCGATCATGATGGCAAGATTGTGCGAGTGGTGACAACAAGAGTCGAGTCTTCTTCGAGCTCAAGTCGACGCGCACGCTCGCCGACTCCAGAGGAGAGGGAACGCCTAGAGGAACCTCAAGGCTTGCCTGATCCTAAACCTGTTGAGGATAGAGTTGAGGAGGCCAATGCTGCCCCAAACGAGAGTCAGCCGGGAGAAGATGGTGGTGACAAATCTCCCGGCGACAAGAAATAAATAGGGTGTGAGGGTGGTAGGTGGACGCCACATGGCCGAAGTCACGTGGTCACCTGCATGCAAAGTATTGCGTCCTAAAATGTTGTGGCTTTTTATTTTAGCTTCAGTCCCGCACCGATGAGTTCTGCTGACAATGTTGTGACTTGTGGCATATTGGTGTCTTCACTGATTGGTTCTCTACTCTTTGCTCAATATTTATTTTGTTTTCATGCACTCTCTCTCATGAAGGCCATCATCCTATATGAGCTCATCCTCATGGAAAACCAGAGTATCATCTAGTTCTATGTCGAGCCAGTCAGCAGGCCAATCAGGGAAGGAGGAAGAGGTTAAAACCAAAATGGAGGAAGAGAAATCTGGTAGTGAGCAGACCGTGTCGTCGTAAAACCAAACCACGAGTCGTGTCCCAGTGTGACGCTGTGCCCACAGTACTAACAAACATTCCTCTTCTAATACTGACATATCGTTGACATTTGACATTTGACATTTGACCATTGACCTTTGACCTTTGTCTCACAGAGTCGGTTTACGGCAAGTCGTCGAGCAAGTTATGAACGTTCAAAGTGATAGTTCTTCCCGACTCGTAGACTATATCAACGCTGCCCAGTCTGGACAATTTGAAGTTGGGGGTGCGTATTAGAGAACCGCTGGAGGAAGATTAACATGGGCTTATGCGCAACTAACAAACGGAAACGTCCTTTACGCATGTCTAATCTAAGGATTGTGGGATAGATAACTGTGCATGGGCATTTCTTGATATCTTGCTTCCAATTTATCCACCAAGTAGAAGTTCCTAGAGACTTTGCTTTTGCTTCTAATGACGCCAGCATTTTTTTCTAATGTGCCAATTTTTCCCTGTCAGTTTCATGATCTCAGAAGCCCTAGCGGAGTGTGTACCTCTTGCCACCTTCTCGCTTAATGAAAGACGTTAGTAGTATTTATCGTGGTGTATGATAGCTGATCATATGTTATAGCTAGTCGATGTGTTTATTGTTATATGCTTCAAGTTGTGATAAGCTCTATTGAGCTCATATGCATAACTCATCTGTGATGTACCATTATTCTTATAATACTCAAGGAAAATCTTTACATTTTGCATCACTATACCCTCCTCATCACCCGTTTTGGATTTTGTTTATTTTACATCGCCTTTTAGGCACATTACGATTAAGAATATCACATTATTCCTCGGACATGTGTCGCACGTATGGTTAGTGATTACTGAAACCAATGGCATAATTTTCTCATACACTGCCATTCGATCGCTGTATCATCTTCTTCTTCTTCTTCTTCTCTTCCCTTAGATTTAGTAGATCCGGTGATAACATCATTAAAAATACAACTTCGCCTGTAACGTCTGAGTTAACTCCCTTGTTGTCGATATGGTTTCCATGGCAATAACCCCGTAGATTGCTGCGATCTAGGGGAGCTTCTGTAAGCAGCGATTCAAATAAACTAACACATCTAACATGTTGTTATTTCACAGAGGGATGACGATGAGACGCTCTTAGAAACACCGTTTCTAACAGCGATTTATCGATTTATCGATACGATGAACGAACATGGACACCATACAAACAAATGACATCTCGATTATACTACTCAAAAGAAGATAAGGAACCCGATTTGTTTCCTATGATTATAGTTAATCTGTCATTCCATGTAAAACACCGGGTGTCCGTTATTCTGTGATAGCATGACAGGTTAACTTTAGTCAAATGGAAAGAAGGTGTTAACTTCTTTAATAGTATATACGCTATGGCTGCTGTAGTGACATCTCGTCAACTCGAATTCTCGAATTCTCAATATCTCGAACTATCGATGTCTCGAACTCTCGATGTCTCGATTGTATATGGCTTGTAGATTCTGTATCAGTAGGTTCTTTTCTTCTTTTAAGCGATACAGAGCTCTGCTGTATAAAGAAACACGTCCTAGTTAAATTTGTCATTTGCTGGTATGGTGGTATTCGTCTGGGTGAGAATGAAGTGTCATACATTGCATCAAGGTAGCATATCATATCTTCATTGTTCGCAAGTACACTTTGTTAAAAGTATCATGTTGGTAACGCATGCTCTTGAATATGCATCACGTTAGAGAGAATTTAACACATGTATAACACAATGACCATATCTTGGAAGGTATTTGAGACATTTAAGTCTGTTTTCTGAAAGAATAATTCCAAGAGTATTATGGTCCTTTAAAGCTCTATTCAAAAATCAGATTGTGACTCTTAGCGCATTAAAAGGTGGGAGAAATTGTCAAAATCTTCAACACATTTTCCAACTTTCTCCCAAATCATCCCAAGCCTGCTACCTACACCTAACCCTTACAATGAACCCATTGATATATACCTTCCTCTTGTTTATTAATGAAACAGTTATGGGTTTTATTAACCATTTATTCATGTTAAACATTAATCACAGCAACTATATTTACAATCTCGCATTTTAACAAGGATAGTTATAGATATACTTTGGTGAGTATTGCATTGACCTAACCATTTATTCATAATTGTTTTGTCAATTAATTATTCTGTGACGTACAACATAAAAGCTATGTTTTAAAGTAAAACAAGTATAAAGAATAAATTAAATGAATTGTAACCATATATGATAACATAAAGCAATTAAGTTATGTTTGATTTTAAAATGTATTTTTGTTGCATGTACATTAATGATAAAAAGGTTATATTATAAGATGATTTGTTTTCTATTGGGTTTTTGTTGGGGTAACGTTAACCATCTGACTACATTGTGGACGTTTTCGTTACCAGGAGATGCATCCCAAGTGTCGATGAAGATGATGCGAGGTGAAGTGTCGGCCAAGACGACGTATCAGCGCACCTCCACTGGGCCCGTCGTAGTCGCCTCCGTCGACCCTGAGGGCAAGTTCATCGTCCTCGAGAACACATCGTCAGGAACATCACGCAGGGTAAATACAAACTTTCTGTGTTCCAACTAACTGTCTCCTATAAATTTGTCATCATTTCAGATGTCATGATTTTGGAGCCGATAAATTTGAAAAAGAAGTGAATGTTTCATACCAGATTTTACCAATGCAAAGGACGTATAAAGAGATTTTGAGTACAAATCAATGTTTCATTTAAAAGGTACTAACACAGAAGATATGCCAAGACTTGTTGCACATATTAATCAACGGTTTTTGTTATTCTGATTTCGTCAGTAAGCTTCCTAGCCCATTTGTAAAAATGTAGTTGACGGGTTACCTTTAACTGTCAAAACGAAAATGTTTGGGACCATGAATACCTTTGGGCGCATTTTTATGAAGCAAAATACCAAAATGTTTTGGGGTTTTCAGGATGTCGATCTCGACAGCTACAGACTTGAGAGGGACTTGGACTCCAAGAGAAAACTGTCATACACCTTCAGAAACTATTCACTGAAGGCCGGGAAACAGGTCAAGGTGAGGGACGCGTTGGTAACGTCTGTTGCTGTTGGCAACGTCCACTATGTGGTTAAAAAAGGTCCTCTTTCTGCTCTCTGTAACCATATGGAACTGGGCCCGTAAGTAGGTCAAGGCACTTCGCGAGACATTGGTACTTCCGGTGACAAACGTTTCATTCCTTCTCGAGTGGTCTCATGGTTATCAGTTATTAATTTTAAAGGAACCGATAATCCTTGCAGGATTAACAGAGGTCCGATCTAACCATCCCCATATTAGCCAACCATTACGACTGTCAACAGCTGTGACAGGCAAGCATGGTTGTACACTTGGTCCGTTCTAGTAAAGTCATATTTGACGGTCGCGCAATTTGGAATCAGAACTGGTTCTTGAATATACTCTTGACACCGGAAATCTGGTATCGAAAGTAAGCTGGGCCCAGTCTCGCATGACGCAAGTTGGCGCGCGTAAAGGGAGCCGGCAACCAGCTTAGTACCGGAAGTACCGCCTCGCGAGACTTACAAGCCCTATTTGTCAGCGTGACGTGCCGGGAATGAAGATTGTTTTCTTATCCTTAATCCATGTTATTTTTGGATACCTTATCCTGCTATTTTTGTTGTTATTATTATTACCAATATAGCTGCTTTCCTCAAAAGAATCACAAATATTGTACGTTCATAGAGAAAACATTAGTTTTACTGAGATTTATACTGTGCAATGAATTTACCTTCTATTTTAATGAATATTAAAAAGAGAGCGATCTATGCATGACCGAACATTGATGACCTAATTGCACCTATTTACGTTGTTACCATGTCAACAACATGTTATATAACCAGTATATATTTAACAGTGCTACGTTTTCTTGCAGATCTGGGCCAAAGGATCCTCGACGAGTGCCGGCTTGAACGACCTGGTGTTCCGCGACGCCGACTCCTGGGGAACCGGCTCCAACATCACCACCCCTCCTCAATAACAAGAACGAGGTACGTTAACGAGTGGTTGACAGTATGAACGATATTACGATAATTGGGTAATGAGATAACTCATTGACGCTGCTTACACCTTCAGTAAAGCATCTTTGCTTGAAAGGTGAAGGACACATCGCAAATACTTCGAGTTATCCTAAGTTTGACACACTCGCTAAAAGTCTAAATGAGGAATTGCTTTTACTTCGACACAACCGTAGGTTCGACACATCAAAGTTCGACACAACGGTGTTTTGTAAATTATATTAACTCTATATCATACACATATATATAGGGACATTATCAACCACAATGGGAACCTTTTGCTATTTCCTCGTTACCCTTAGTCAATGTCGAAACTTATGTTCATTCCGCCCTTTGAAATTCTCTCCAATGCTATTTTTGTAGGAGAAGGCCTGCCACATCCAGAAGACCAACTACTCCTAAACGTCCCCAAGCACTGCCATGTCACGCCACCAGAGGGCGCACCGGTCTAATCTGTGGGCGTCGACAGCCCAAGCCACCTATCCGCTGTTTATATTGACTTAGAATATAGCTAAAGATTTCAATTGTTTCAGTCCAGAATTGTTTTTAAAAATGTATGTTAATATCACATTTTTTAGTATCATTGTGGACGTATTTAATTTTCATGCTTGTATATCAACCATATTTATGACAATACTCTCTTGAACAATTTTTATGTTGATTAGTTTTTAAAAAAATGTTGTTTTTGAATTTTAGAAAAGCGTATGAAAATAATCTAACAGCGCTTGTGTTTACGTCTTTCAGTTCAATACTTTATGTGGTGCTACTGTATCGATTGGATGGTTACATTCTGGTTGTGAAACTGACCATTCACACAATGTACCCTTTGTACATCAATGGATTCAAATTCTTTGTTTAAAAAGGGTAGATAACTCTGCTTTCATTGTATCTCAGGCCTGTCTTGGTGTATCAGATCTGTTTGTAATATATTAAAGATTTTCAAAGAACACATCTTATATACTTTTTTGCAAACTATTTTTCATAATATTTACCTTTTATATGATATTGTTTTCATCTAGCCTTATGCATTTAAAGAGAAATACAGTTGTGTTTTAGGCAGCATATCATATGTAGAATAGATGTAGGGGAGGTCACTCTGATTCAGACAAATACACCACAAACACGTTCTTGGTGTTGCCATTACGATTGCTGTCTTGATTGACGGACAATTACAAATTTTAACAAAAAAATATTTAAGGTACAGCGTGACATCAGCCTCACTATGGGTTCATTGAGGCACAATTTAAAACAAAACCTTCTTTGTGATCAGTGTTTGGGAAGCGCCATAGTGAAAGTACCAAGAAACTCCTCCAGGAAACAATTATACGGAATTGTTACCACAATTGATTACCTTCAAGAAGCAGCGGGACACTTCTTCATCCTCATCACTAGGGTCGTTCATGTGGAGATTTGCTAAATTGAAGATGCCCTCTCATAGAATCTCTTCTCCTTGCAATGGCAGTTTCGCGGAGGGTAACAAACAGCCCCGAGACTTGGGAAAAGGGACGCTTGTAAAATGGTGGTTGGTTCACTTGGACATTGCCTCAGAGAAAGTGATGTCATTTCTTCTTAAACCTTTCTTCCACGATCTTTCCCGCAGTTGCATAATACGTGTCTTCATGAATATATATCTGAACGATTCACTGAACATCTCAAAAACTTTACTCCAAATTTGGTAGTCGAATCTTTTTCCCTACACCCAATGTATGTGTTACAAGTCATTTCTGTGTTGTTATTCGAATGATCTCATAATCGGCACGTTGTTTACAAGTTGCATTCATTGGCTTGTTAACCGTTAACTTGAAGTGTCAATACCTATGTTGTGCCCAGGTTTGATCTGTTGAGCGCAGACATGCAATTAAACTCTGAGCAGCTAATGGCGGCGAAAGGTATCCATTGTCCGAAACTAAAATGCAGGATTTACATTCGTATTTTCAAAGTTTACAGATTTTGTATTTCTTTTCTTTCTAGCGCCTATGATGCCTGAAGCTTTAATAATAGGTGCACCTGTTGAAATATGCATTGATAGTTTATGTAGAGGCAATGCAAAGACAGCACGTATTGCAATCAAATTTAATTACTAGATTATTTCCATTTGGGGAATTGGACAATTTTGAAAATAGAGTCTATAATGCATTGTGAATTCATATATGTTCAAACACAAGTGATGCGTGCTGTAAGTGTGAATATGGTGATGGTGCACTTTACTAACCCATGTGAGCTGTTTGTAGATACATCCCATTTCGTACGGCCGTCAGAGATGGCTCTGCCTGCGTGTTCTTTGCACCCTGTCGATATCAATGTAAAGGCATCTGCCGGTAATTTTATTGTACCTATGCTTTTAAGCATAATAAACTATTAACAATATATGCTCTGTGTTATATATCTTCATATATTAACATTTCACGCAGTTCACAACCTCATTGACTTCCTCATTCCCTTGCACAACAAACCTTCCTCGTCTTAAAGGTTGACTTTGCTCTGAAAACTTGGCAGCTCCGGCAGAATTTGATTCAAGTCAGTTACAGTCCACTTTCTTTATTTGTGCTAATTCCACCAGCAGGTACACTGGTCAAGTTTAGCACTACATTAAATTAACGTACTGGGCCGATGGGGTAGTCTAGTGGTTAAAGCATTCGCACGTCACGCCGAAGAAAAAGGGTTCGATTCTCCACATGGGTACAATATGTGAAGCCCATTAGTAGGTGTCGACCACCGTGATATTGTGCAGGAATATCGCTTAAAGCGGCGTAAAACTTACTACCACTTAACCATAGCTGTAGCTGACGTCATTACGAATTTGACGTCAGATTCAGCGTGTGCAGTCACTGGTATTGCAGTGCTAGGAACCCAAACCCTTTTACCTGATGACTTCAAAGAGGCCTAACGCTTGAAACCGATTGGCTAATATACAGAAGAATTATTTGAGGGATATTTGATAATTTGCTTGTCTTCACACAAAAAAAGCCCACTCAAATAATTCTTGATATCTATTTGGGGTGGGGGTGGTATTAGTATACACACCGTAGTGTAGGATGTACACTCAACCCAACAGCTGATACCCTTATTTAACACTGCAGTGACCCTTGCCATTCCCAAATAAGACCAAAGGGTGGCAGGGTAGCCTAGTGGTTAAAGCGTTCGCTCGTCACGATGAAGACCCGGCTCCGATTCCTCACATGGTACAATGTGTGAATCCCATTTCTGGTGTTCCTCCGTGGTATTGCTGGAATATTGCTAAAAACGGCGTAAACTAAACTCACTCCTCACTCTAACCAAGGCCAAAAGACTTCAGATCATGACGAATGGTCAGTACCCAATTTCCAGTTGTTTAGAGCAAAAACATACATCAGGTCCCAGTAGTTCAAAGCTATTTCAAGACTCCTTATATGGTCTTACAGGCGTTCCAGCGATTCCAGCTAACTACACCTTCATGTATAGCACCGGACAGAATTCGTTGGTAAACAGATCTTCATACGCATAAAGGAATTACAGAATTAAGAATAAATATTTAACTTTTATGAATTAAGTGTGAACTGGCGACGTTACAATTTGGTTTTTACAGCCATGTGTTTATGATTATCGTACTAAATTTACGTTTACCTAGTGGCGATCTTTAATATGTCCTATGTTATTCAGACTATAAGTCTGTTTGCGACGAAGACATGCCGATGAATTTCAATTAAAACCAAAAAAGTAAAACATATAAAGTGAAATTAAGACTGCGAATCCTCGTAATTTTACGCTTGCCAAAGTGAACATTGAAATTTCAGAAGTTTATTCAACTTAGGATAAAAAGTTGTTTAACAAACGATCCATAATTTCACATCGCTCATTATTATTGGTTTGTATTACAAGGGGGTATGCACATCCGATGAAACACCAAGAACGACAAGAGATTTGTTCTAAGTTAACCTTTCTTCACGTACCGCACCTGCATTTGTTTCACTTTGTTCCAACTACTGCGCTTACCCCATTGTGGCCTGAAGCTCCAGCTAATAACGATGTTCGATCGTTTGTTAAACAATTTTATCTAACCATGGAAACTATATCGGTATCTCGTATCTTTTTGTCAACCACTGTTTTGTTAGAAGCTTTCGACGAAAAGAGTCATTGCACCGTCCTGCTGGAAAAGCACAAATAGGAATTACGTTCTCTACTTCCAGTCTGCCCTCCTGAAGAATCCGAACAAACGTTTCTTATTTAAAAGTGACTCCTGTTATACAGATACAATACGGCAGAGGCGGTGACTATGCTGGAGTCATTTTCGCAGAGTTCCTAATTCTGGATGATCTTTTCACAGATGTTCTGTTGACCTGAAAGTCTGACTCATCTGCTGGTTGTTTTCGAACGTCCTACTTAGCAATATCCCCAGGTAACTGGCGGCGGTATGTAATTATATTGAGCAGGGTTTTGTATCGTGCAACAAGGTTATCACCTACAAAGGTTGCACCCGGGTGCAAATAGGTTTATTTCCCTAAATTGAGATCCGCAATATATTGCATAATGATATTTGGCTGTCCTGTTTGGGGCTAGTTTGTTCAGATCTCAATTTTTATTTCGCAAAGTATTAAACACTTTCAACACCTGAACGAAACATTGTTCAAGGTGTGACATTTACTATATTCAAAGAAAACTGTTCTTGGCATTTCTTGTTTCATGATGGGTTGAGGAAATTTTATTTCCCTGAGCATCTCAACAAGCAGCAACAAGCATAAGGAAGGTTCTGTGGACTAATAACATATTATACCATTTCTCAGAAAGCCAGTGAAAAATAGAAAGGAATAAAAATAGTTTCCAGTGCCCTGTTGACATCAAATTATAACATTTTCCTTTAAATATATTGTTGCCTCAGCAGCATAACTGACGCCAAGAGTATTTTCGGTTTGGAAGAATTAACAAAACTGTTGAGAAAAATATAGTTCACCACTTTGTTTTTAAAAGGTATATTATAGGACGACATCGTATGAAAACCAAATGAACAAAAAATGAGAAACATCTATTCGTATATTTTTTCATGGTATAATTGTATAAAAATAATTAGGTTAAATAGTAAGTTTTCCAAAACAACTGATATTCAGATATCAGATAGATAGAAGATGAGTTATTTACACTTTGCTAATGCATTAAATAGATTCTTAGAGTCATTACCATTTGCAATTTGTGAGAAAAGACTAATAATGTATTAATAACATTTCACATATGAATATATTGAAAGTAGTAACCACTGACAAATTATCAACCATTGTCTTCAATATTAAGCAGGAATATAATTTATTGCTGAAAAGTGTACATATTATTCAAACTGTTCTGAGTGGTGGGGTGGTTAATATTTAGCGTCACATCGGCAATATCTCAGCCATATATCGTGACGAGAACAAGTTAATTTATATCAATATTAAAATCAATAAATTTAGAAGATAAAACCTGTCATCCTCGAAGGACGGTAAAATACTAGCGATTCTCCCTGTCCGGAGTCCGGACTCGATTATTTACAGACCGCCGCCATATAGCTGGAATATTGCTGAGTGCGGCGTAATAATAAACTCACTCACTCGCTACAATTATATGTGTCTTATCTACATAATGGGTGTAGAATGAACTGATATGCACTTATCATGAGTTCGATTGAAGTTTAGATACAGGATACCGGGAAGTGTAAGTGTCAATACATCAATACAGTACAAGATCAAGACATGTATTCACTGACAAGGCCTCAAATAGCATAACCATTACATTCATTACACAAAATATCATTACGTAAAAATCTTTGAATGGGTGAGTGAGTTAAGATTTAAGTCACGCACCGGCAAAAAGTCACATATCATTGACTAAAAACAATTCTATATTCATGATAAATACACATAATCTAAGAAACCCTGTCAACGAAAAGGACAGTAAAATGACTAAATTATCATAAAATGGATTAAAACAGCTAGCATATATCTTTAAATGTAGACAACTATTTTTGGACTATGTATACAATGTGAAATGGGCTATTTGTGCCAACAACGCTGAAGGTAGATCTGTACTCCACGCCGTAGGGGCGGTGAACGGCGAAAAAATATTTTATAGCATAAAGTGAACAATTTATCACGCGAGAGGTGAGCAGGTTTTACTTTTAGGTGTAGGAAAGATTGTCAATATCTATATTTGTATATGTCACATTGTCCCCCCAACCTTCATGCTGTAAAATAGAAGACAAATGTGCGTAATCATACCAAATATATTTCCATTCCGTCATTATACAAGCCCATGAGCCTGCAAAACAATGTCTAGCTTCGGCTAAGTTTCCGTACAGATGCATCAACATATACGAGACAAAACAGAATACACTACAAACATTTAGAGTAATTATCAAGAAATATCTTTGTGCCAAATTTGAATGCTTGGTTTGTACCGTTTTCGAGCTTTCATCCTCGAAGACCATCACCACCATCAAACAGTTAGTGAACGATTAAAGAACATCATGGTGAACGATTTCATGTCGACCTCTAATTTACACAGTGAACGCTTTACGGTGGTTATTCAATAAAGTTTCTAGTGACAAGTGTGTGTACTGCCCCAAGTGAGTAGTGTATTCACAGACCAAACCATACAGAGACATCGTATTTCAGTCACGTTAGTTGAATTAACTTGATAATTCTTTTTCACAATTTTTTATTACATAGCGATTATAGTTCTTACATACGGATTCTCTCCATCAACTTCTATAACTGAGTAAAAGTGGCGGTGGTTTGTATTCTTAACTATTGTTTCAACATAATAGTCATATCAGTCGCGCATCATTTTGCGAATGGATATACTAGAAGTGAGTAGTATCACCTTGGACGGCTCATTAAACGGGACATGCTCACCCCGTGTGGTGAGTGAGTTTAGTTTACGCCACACTCAGCAATATTCCAGCTTTTGGCGGCTGTCTGTAAATAATCGAGTCTGGACCAGACAATCCAGTGATCAACAACATGAGGCATCGATCTGCGCTGGTGGGAACCGATGGCATGTGTCAACCATGTCAGCGAGCCTGACCACCCGATCCGTTAGTCGCCTCTTACGACAAGCCTGGGTTACCGAAGATCAAGGTAATCTGGCCAAGAAGGTTAACTAGCCATTCAGGTATATATGGATCATCTAATATCGTTCAATAACCATCAAATAGCCTATATTCCTTCCATTGATGTGCCCGCATGAACTTGAATACATTAGAAATAACTTGAAATAAAATAGTGACACAGCCTCAACTGTTTCATATTTAGATCTATGCAAAAAGGCCCCGAGTGACAAAAACTCTCCACAAGGCTGTATAACAAAAAGGAAGATTTCATCTCTCCAATAGTCGAGCAATGTTGCATGCATCAGTTATAGCGTTTGGTGTTCTTTGATCAAGATAAAAACATTCAAGGTTTCAGTAAAGCTTCCAATATTTTTATGGTTTAAAATTGTTGACCACATTTCAAAATTTGATGCATCAGTGACAAAAATGATGTATGATGCAGCTACCCATTATGACTTGTACCAAACGTTCCCGATTGTTTTAGGTGAAGAGTTGACCAGCTTTACAAACATTGATTGGGCAGGATTCGCTCTCTTTTTCGAGTCCTCCTTCCTGAAACATTCAAAAAGTAAATTCAAACTCTCCACTAGTTTTAATCGTAGAATATGTGTCTTTTTAAATGTATGGCTACATAATCTAAATTGCTAACGGCTGAACGGATGATGTTAATCCAGCTAGGGCCACGCAGGAAGCAAATGTACCATCAAGTCCCCATGGTCCCTAGTATGGTGATCTACCTTCAGTTCTTGGCAATCTATAGCCTGTTTTATATATTGTATTGTCATGTATAGTTAAATATTTTAGATTTAATTGCTAGTTTTATATGGATATCTGTGATACACTAGTAGTTTTACTGTTCTTCGTCAACAGGCTTCTAATTTCTAACTTTATTGATGTTAAATATAATAAAAGTGTTCTCGTCACGATATAACTGAAATATTGCCGATGTGACGATAAATATTAACTCACTCACACACTCGCTTTTCGAACTCAGAGCAGCAAACCAGGTGGAATTCTAATTGTATTTCTTTTTACAAGAGGATGGAGACTAAGGGTCATTCATGAAATCCTGACATCAATGTTGGCATTTTTGCTCAGAAAGCATAGATGTACCGTTTACGTTCGCTTGATGTTTTCTTCTAGAATCTGTTATATATAAGTTGGCTCGAGGGTGGAATTAGGGAAGAAACTTCAGCAAGAAAGTACGAGTGAGAGGTATTTTAGATTAAAGACTTATTTTCAAGAGAATTATTTCCTTTTGAATATGGTCTATCTTAGATTGTATAGATATATTCGGCATTCGACTGTATTCCATCTCAAAACAACACGGAACGGAAAGTTTTAGAAAAGTCGCCATAGGTGTTATTTTAGTTGTCTCGCTTGTTGTTTGGTCGGATCCCGTGATCAGGAAACGACAGACGACTCTTGAATTAGTAGCTGCCATAACCGAATTGCTCTTGACTTTGATGTTATTATCATCCGTTTCCCAGTTTTTTAACAAAGCATCAACTTATAGATGGTAACGGGCAGGTACGTCTGTGACAATGATCCCACCATTATGACTGAGTTTGGTTTTATGCCGCTTTTAGCAATATTCCAGCAATATCACTGCGGGGGACACCAGAAATGGGCTTCACACATTGTACCCATGTGGGGATTCAACCCCGGGTCTTCGGCGTGACGAGCCAAAGCTTTAACCACTAGGCTACCCCACCGCCCCCAACCATCATGAATGCATTGTGTTTCACTGGTCGTATTAAATGGGATTACCATATTGGCAGAACAAAACAGAAACGTTAAATGTGTGAAGCAGATTTCTGGTGTCCCATGCCGTGATATTGCTAGAGCATTGCTCATGGTATCTTTCTTTTATGTGTTTCACGTAGCCACCAAATTCTGAACATGGGTCGGCCGGTCTGGGAAAAACGAAAAAAACATTAACAAAGACAAAATTATCTGAATAATGTTCTTGCTTCTCATTTATTGTAATTCTTATTACAATTTCTCGTTATTCTTTGACTTGTGGCGGGGGCGATTAAAACATTTTTAGGTAGATAAGCATTTTATATGCTGAGGCGCTACGTTTTAGGTTCAAGTCGGCGGTGTTGGAATGAAAAAACTTTTTGGGGGAGGTCGGCAATAAAATTAGAAGGGTTGGTCGGGCGATGAGAAACACAACAAATAGAAATGCTGTCCATTAAGCGGCGTAAAACTCACTCCTTAATCCTAACAGCTGGGAGTGTCTAAAGTTAGCAGTGTCAAGACAGTGTTAGACTGACCTTTCAACCAACACTCATCTATCTCTCGGCCAAATAAAACCCGTGAGGATCCGGGTTAGAATTGACCTTCAGCAACCCATGATCCCATAACGGGATCGGATTGTCAGGGTCGCTGACTTGGTTGACACATGTCATCGTATCCCAATTTCGTAGATCGATGATCATACTGCTGATCACTGGATTGTCTGGTCCAGACTGGATTGTTACAGACCGCAGCCATATAGCTGGAATATTGCACAGTGCGGGGTTAAACAACAACCAACCAACCCTTGCTGAAATAACAATCACCATACCCACAACGGAGGGGTGTCAGTGCGCTCGCTCAACAGCGGGACATCGCCACATTACACTGAGCCCCGATCTGTCCGGAAAGGAAGACACAACGAAGACAAGAATATCAGGTCACGACACCCTAAGTACAGTGGGTCTTGGATCAATATTGTTCAGATATGTGTTTAATGTCAAGTGGCTTATATTTCATGTGATACAAGCAAATT